AAACAGTACCATTTCCCTGGATCGAGTAGTCTGGTACACACGAATTCATAGCTGAAATACCAAGTGCACATACACGAGTGTCTAGTACGAATTATTACATCATAAGCCCGCAGGCATAGTCTTAAATCATCGGACCGAGCGGTCTGGAATACATTCCAAAAACAGAAGAAGGTAAGGCAGCGGAGTTAAGGCAGCGGCACGCCATTGCCACAGGCAACGACCGTAACTAAGACCTACTGAGCACCATCGTCTTCGTCACCCTCCTGGTAATAGGCATAGGGATCCTCCGAAGCTTCATCTCCGGCCTCTGATTAAGTTTGTATATTGCAAGGGTGAGTACCAACCGTACTCAACAAGCCACCACAGCAACAATGCATATGACAGGGGTATTCAAAGGATGACTATGGTTCTTTTGCGCAAAGCAAGTTTTGTAATTCCTTTCACAAACCTAAGACCTAGCACAGACTGATCAAATTTTATTACCAGTGTTCATATTAAACAATGACGATTCTGTCCACCATCCATTGTGATCCCAAGGATAGCTTCCCGCCATTGAGTCGTCATGGTTTTCTGAGGACGTTCACCTTCCCGCCTCTTAGGAAGTGGCTCCATTAGCATAGAAATCATCATGCAATATCCCATTCCACACAAGTTAAGAATTTAGAGTCTAGCCAAGTGTAATACATGTCCCGATGCTCAATAACCGCGAGCACGGCTATTCGAATAGATTTGATTTACTTACACTGCAGTGGATGTACACTTTACCCGCACTCCGTGACTGCCCAACACATAAGCCTCGTCCCAACACATGGGACGCGTCACGGCAAAGCTTTTCGATAACCTCGCATTGGCAGTACCCGCTCCATGAACTTAAATCCTCATGCACTCTAGGCGTCCATGTTTCTAGCAGTGAGAGGAGTTCTGGCGCTCCCGGGAAAGAGAAGTCTCACACACATATTGAATTATGGTTCAAGTTAAGTTCTCTCTCTCACACACTTATGGCAGTCCTACCTATAGCGACACCGATGTAGGGCACGCCTCTCGGCCCTACCTCAACGGCTGTCCCACCGTAGCGCACCTGCCTCACTCAGGGGTGAACCATCTATGCAGGGATACTGCCTCCGCTCGGCTATCTAATCCGCTAGGTCTATACCCATACGAGAAGTACGATTGTACGGGGGTCGTTTCATGCTTAACTTCATGGCTCGGTCCTTAATTGACCGGGGACGGTACTAGCCTTTTCCAGATACCACCCAAATCCTCCGTCCGCCCCAGTCGAAAACAGTTGTTTAATTTTATTTCTCCTTTCACAAATCATATCATCAACATCATGGCAATGTGGCGCTCATGTCTCCACATGCCGCATCTCAATTACCTTCCCAAAGGTAATTGCCCAAGCATATAGCATTTGATAAATATGAGTATGCATAAATCTAGAGTAGCATTTCTAAGCATTTGTCATAGTTGACTAGGGACTTATACGTAAATCATGGTTACAAGGATTTAAGGGTAAACAATAATCAAGGCATGGCATAATCACAAGTAGAATGTTCATCATTGCATGCAATTTTTATTTGTAAATAAAAATAATTTCGTAATTGGGATCAACATGTTCAAAGAATAGTGATGACTTGCCTTGCTCAAAGTCTTGCGGGTCTTGACCATCGCTTGGATCCGCAACTCCCTCGGGCTCTATAGTTACGTGCGAAAATTGATTTGAATTCAGAATTCAAATAAAAATCCAAATAAATCCAAATGAAAGTCGATTCCTTTATATTAACTTTACTATTCGCGAACTAAGGCAAACCCAATTTCGATTCAAACTATTTTGCGGGTATAAATATTTTGTTGTCATAAGTTTTTAATTTAATCTACCCGAGCATTATATCCATATAATAGGTTAGAAATTTCTATCGCGAGCTAAATATCGGACGAAATCCTAGAAATATTATACGATTTAATTTAGTCTATGACTAAATGATTAAATATAATACATGGCTAAAATCCCTAGTAATTAAATCCGAATTTCTACCGTGAATCGATTACTTATAGGGATTACCCAAAAATAATCTATAATAATCTATAAGAATTCATCTATTTGTTTAGTCATTAACTACATCTAAATTATTACCGCGAATTGATTTCTTATAGAAATTGCCAAGAATAATCCATAATTTATATTAAATTTTGTAATTCTACAACTATAATTAATCTATAATTAAATTCTAATTATTTTAAATTTTCTAAACTTCCCTGATCTCCCCTAATTTCTATTTATTTTTTTCTTTTCTTTTCTCTCCTCTTTCTCTCTTCTTTTCTTTCTTCTCTCCCAGCTCCTTTCTCCCTTCCTCTCTCTCTCGGCTCTTTGCCCTCCCGGCGGCGAAAGCGGTGGACGCAAGGGGGGGAAAAGGCGGCGGCTTACCGACAGCGGCGGTCGGCGGCGACAACGGCGACGGCAGCGCAAGCCGACGGCGACACCCGGCGCGGCACACGGTGCGGCGCGGCGGCACACCGAGGGCGGCGGCGCGGCGGTGCGAGGACGGCGGCGCGGTGGAGGGAAAGAGGGGAGGAAGAGGAAAATGGAGTGGGGAACAATGGAGAGGGGTGGGGGTGTTTATAGGGAAGAGGGGAAAGAGGGAGAGAAAGGGGGATGACGCAACGGCGGCGCGGCGACACGACGGCGGGCGGCGCGGCGCGGGGCTCGGGGCGTTGGTGACGCGCGGCGACACGACGGGCGGCGATGTGACGGCGCGCGGCACGCGGGCGGCGATGGCGACGGCGTGGCGCGGCTCGGGGCGCGAGGCGGCCAGGCACGTGGCAGTGGCGCGGGGAGCGAGGCGGCGGGCGCGCGGCGCGAGGCGACGAGACGGCGCGCGGCGCGGCAACGGCACGGCTCGAGGCGCGGGGCGACGGCGCGCGGCGCGGCAGCGGCGATGGGATGGCGACGGCGATAGGCGGCGATGGCGACGGCGGCACGGCGGCAGGCGACGATGGCGACAGCGCGCGGCGGCTTGAGGCGCGAGGCGGCCAGGCGCGACGGGCGGCGGCGCGTGGTGACGGTGGCGACAGAGAGAGGGGAAAGAGGAGGGGCTGGGTTAAGGGACCACGTCGAGCACCTAGAGTGCAATGAACAGTGTCTTTTCTTATTTAACCCGATTTTAGCCTATTTATTATTTAAATTTGATTCTATAAATCCTAAATTTTGCATAAATATGGTTTATTCAATATTTGTGTTATTCCAACCAATGGATCCACTCTAGATTTATTTTACCGATATTTTATTTTTATAAAATTTTACTTGAATTTAATTAGAGTAAATTCCTATTCAATCGCATTTAAATTTAATTGATACAAATATGGTCGCAATAATATTTTATTCATTTCTATCCTCACCTCATCTTTATTTTAAATTATATCTTAATTATTTCTTTTGCCAATTTAATTTTAGGTTTTATTCCTAATTAATTATTCCTTATTCGTTATTGATAAACTTCGAAACCAAATTCCAATGAAATAGGCGGAGAAAATTGGCATGATGCAATTTATTTAAAAAGTTTTTGAAGGCCCATATTTTTAGAGTTTAGATTGTTGTCGTCGAATTTTCAGGGTGTTACATGTATACGGAAACAACCCGTACATGTGAAGGTATACCTTATCGGGATGTTCCATAAGTCATAGGATAGAGGGTATGCCTTATTCGTAACCCTGACAACTTCAAAATTTCAACCCAAATTTGGAAGTTTCTGCTAACAATTTGAACTTTCAACTCGAAATTTTAGAAAACACTACTCGAATTTTTGAAACTTTTCAACTCAAAACTGAAACCTTCAATTTAACTTTTGAAACTTTGAACTTATATATTAAAACTTTCAACGCATCTATTTATTTATTATTTTATTATAACAAATTATGCTTAGTGCTTAGTGGTGGAGGCGTGGGGACACGTGCGTATTGTGCTAGGTGCACTCCTGACGCCATTGCACACACCGTACCTCTATTTAAGAAGAGAAAGGGACATTTTAAATATTGATGTGCAATTTGTGCCCTACCAACCTTTTGGTAGGCTCTATTTTGTGGTTTAGATTGAACACAAAGGTTAGTTTGGCAACATTAGCTCTCTACAGTGGTGGACGCACCCATTAGGCAGGGAGGGTCGGCCGGTCCAGCTATGATCCGTGTCGCCCCACGCAGCTACGCCCCTAAACCTTATTTGTAGACCTATTTTTAACACATTATTCATCCGTCTACTATTGAATAATCAGATAAATCAAATATTTTAAGTAGAGACAAAAATATTTATGAAAATTCGTGACTTATAAGTATTATTTCTGTGTAAGTAGTACCATTTTGACTGTTCCTGATTTTGACTATATATAATTTTTTTCTATTTCTATACAATTCACAGTAAATAGTTAAATTGGTAAATATATAAAAAAATATATTTTACTCACTTGAACTATTTTGGCGAAGCACTTAAACCCCTAAATAATTTTTCATCTTGTTTTATAACCCCAATTGAAAGTGGTTCCCCTTATTATTATCTAACAACATTTCTCTTTTTCTCTCTCTACATATAAATCATATATATTTGTTCGACTACCAATTTTCGTTGTTAACTTTCTCGATATCCGTGTCGTGCACTGCTGCGCCAGTGTCATGAGCCGGCGACTATGGTTTGTGTGCATTGTACCATCACCTAATTAGAGTTAGCTCTGCCGCCATCAGCCGGTGACTATGGATTGTATGTATTGTGCCATCATCTAATTAGGGCTAGCTCCGTCGTCCCATCTATATTTTAAACCTACATCCACCACTGGCTCTCTATAAGTAACGAACCAAATGTAATCAAGTCAACTCTCAGTACTAAAGAATTGGTAGGGTTGAGAACCAAAGTGGCCCAAAGTTGAAGCATCAACGCAATTCTTCAAACATTATTCATGGAATTTCCAAGCAATGCACACGCAGTAACTATAGTGTGCGAAAAGGGACTCAAAACTGTCTTGTTTTCTGAACGAGAATTATTATTGATCAAAATTTACCATCAGATCAATAGCGTTATCGGGAGAAAAAACAAAACGTAGTTTTTAAGCTGAATAAAAAAACAGAAATGTATTGTAAAGGATTGGAGAAGGAGGGATGACTACATGATTACATTTACTCCTGCACAATTTTACAAGGAGCATCTTTCTAGCATCTATATATACCTACAGCTGAAGCCTCATACCTCCCACAAATTTAGAGGCGATTCGGCGAATTATACATATATATATATATATATATATATATATATAGCTAAGCAACCAAGATGTACTATACAGTGGGAGAATATATTCATTCCTGAGCTTCTTTGATTGTCTTCCAGGCGTGCGGCCAAGCTGCTCGCTAGAACGTGGGCACGACGCCGCAGCTGGAGTCGGCGGTGGTGGAGAAGTACTGGTCGACCTCAAGGTCGGTGTCGCTGCGCTTGGCGAAGCGTCCCTTGATCCTCGGCCGGGTCTCGGCATACGCCTTCCGCGACGCGTACCTGATGGTCTTCTCGAACCGCCTCGTCTTCCTCTTCTCCCTGTACCGGTGCACCCTGGCCTCCCTGTCAATGGCGCCCATGAACTGCGGTGGCGACATTATGCTGTGCGCCGCCACAGGGGAGCCAGCTGCTGCCGTGAAGAGGTCGATGGTGCTCTTGGATGACCTCAAGTAGGAGGTGGTGATGTCTGGCACACCGCAGTCTGGGACCGTGCTCATGTTCTCCAGCGATGACATCGAAACCTGAGCGATCGTCGAACAAGGTTGAAATGCATACTATACTAGTTTTGATATTCCGCGTTTTGCTGAGGATATGTGGATGAATGCATATTTTATATAATATAAAAGATAGATATATATGTTTAAATAATGTGATAATGATATGGAGATGATAATTTCACATTGCTCGCATATTAAATTCTAAAAATACAACAAAATTATAAATGATATATCATGTTTACATGAAATTTAAGATACTCTATAAAATAATTCCTAGTACGTGATGATGTGACACACTTGTATGTGATTTAAAATACTCTACACAATAATTCCTAGAGATCTTTTACGGTGTTTGCGAGGTACTTAGAGGTACTTAAAGGTGGATCAACGGAGGGGTCAGGTACGGAATAAAATTATTGTAACATGATAGGAGATGAGTAAATGAAAACGTAAATCATGGCTACCCTGTTAATTTAGCGATTGATTCAATCTGTATCGGAGAGAGAGAAAAAAAATCAAAGATCACATTTCCTTTCTTCTCTAGCTACCTTTAGAGATATCCATGACTTATTTACGCAGTTAATTAGTTGTTTATGTAGTCAAGGAAGAAGTTTCATGTTTTATAGGGATAAATTGATAAAATATTATATAATTTAAATCGACGCAAATCTTCGGTGATATTTTAACCGGTCATGTTTTTGAAACACAATACAAATCTCTTCTAGTAAAAAAGATATAAATCTCAAAAGAATTAAACGGAGGGATTTTGACATGTTCTTGAGAACATAACGTAAATCTAGACAAGGGAACACAAATGAAAACTTTTACACCAATAACGTTTTCTTCGGAACAAAACGTATGTAAATATAAAGAAAATCATGCAGATGAGAATCTCAAAGAACACAACATAAATCTATAGAAAATCATGCAAATGAGAACAGCTAGTACCAAGCAAATCACTTAACCGGTACCTATGCGGTACCGATAAATTTAGGGACAATTCTACCATTTCTCTCAACAAGTATATTTATGTTTTTACCCTTGATATCTAAGTACCTATACTAATACTTAAATACTTTTCACATGGTACCTATTATTGAGGAGCGTTGGATTTTTACCTTTTTTGGAATGCAAACACCGTAAAAGTTCTCGCGAGCACATACATACATATGTACCTATACATTTTTATTTTTAAGATTTTTACCACAACTTGTAGTACTTTTGTACAATTCACAGAATAGTACTATAGGCCATGCTACAAACTGATTTGTTGTTGTTTGTCACAGTCTTCTCTGCAGGAGATAGTAGTTAGTAACTTGCTATTCTTCTTTGGTGATGGTGTTGCATGTTCTTCTCGGGTCCTTCACACAGAGTTCATTTGTGTGTGTGGTTGTTAGTCAGAATATTGTGTGTGGGACATGCAATGTGTTCATATGTTTGGATACTTCTTTGATTTTGGTCAGCATTTCTGTCACTGTGTGCAGAAGTTTTGATTTCTTTACATGTTCAAAAGTATTAGAACTTCTATATGGTTCAAGTTTGTGGTAAAAGAATTTGATTAGCTTGATTTGTTTACTCTAATTCTTTTCAAGGAGAGTTTTAGCTATGCATGGAGGATGTCAGTTCTTATCCATGAAGGTGGATGTGGATTCTGAAGAAATTAAGCAACATATCGTCCATGGGCTAATTTCCTATGTTCAGGTATTGATTTGTCTATTATTTACTGAAAATTAGCAGGTTTTGTCCTGCAAATTCACTGATATTTGTGTTCAAAAATCTGAACTTGGGGGCTATTAATATTGGGTAAATTTTAAAAGATTAGTATCAGTTTTGTTTGTTGTGGATTCTGAAAAGAAATCGGGCATACTATCTCAATGTCATTTTCAGTACCTACACAAAGACCAATCATTAGCAAAATATTGTATTCTTGTTTGCTCTGTGTTTCTGTTTCTGTTTATGTTTTTGGTTTTGGTTTTGTCTTTTCTGTGTTTTTGTTAACCTTCTAAATTTTGCCAAAATAAATTGTTTTTTGTGTCCCATTTGTAATTTTTCTAGTACATTTTTAGGTGTACTGAGTAGTTGTGCTAGTTCTAGACTAGTGTCAAGAGCTCCAAAGGTAGTCTTTAATTAGAATTGAGTAAAGTCTATCACCGGTCCCTAAACTTATATCGTTGTGTCATCCCAGTCCCTAAACTCGCAAATCAACCGTTCAGGTCCTCAAACTTGTTCGACTGTGTCATCCCGATCCCTAAACTTGCAGATCACTCGTTTAGATCCTCCAACTTGTTCAGCTGTGTCACCCCGGTCCCTAAACTTGGATTTGAATATCATATGGGTCAAATAGGATGGTCTAAATACTTTATATTTAAAAATAATTCATAACTTTTTCATGTGAACTCTAATGAAGATAAACTCTATATATCAAACTTGTAGCCCGCGACGCGATCTACAACTTTGTAGTTGAATTTTTTTTTATTTTAAGTCATTTTTGTCCCAAAATGTAATTTTAAAATTAAAATTACAAAATCTATAAATATGCAACAATATTTTGGGACCCTAAACAGTTTTAATTTAAAAACTTTTCAACTACAAAGTTGTAGGTCGCGTTGAGGGCTACAATTTTGATATAAAGTTTGTCTTCATTAGAGTTAACATGAAAAAGTTATGAATTATTTTTTGATATAAAGTTTTTAGACCGTCCTGTTTAGGGACCGAGGTGACACAACTGAACAAGTTGGAGGACCTAAACGAGTGATCCGCATGTTTAGGGACTGGGATGATACAGTCGAACAAGTTTGAGTACCTGAACGGTTGATTTGTGAGTTTAGGGACCGGGATGACACAGCGGTACAAGTTTAGGGACCGGTGATGGACTTTACTCATTAGAATTTTATGCATGACTATGTGCATCTGAATACCTCATCAATAATAAGTACAAAACAAGTTCTCATGTCTAGTTTTCTCAACTACTAACATTTCTAGTTTTGTGTTTTGTCAGCCATTTGATATTTCTGCAAAAGTTAGTTTTGTTTTCTAGACCAAATATCTGGAAATCAGTTTTGTCAATCCTTGACTAGCTGAGCAATTAATTTTGTACATCCGAATAGTATTGTTTTGTTAGCATTTAGTAGTTGCATATAACATATGACAATGTTCCTTAACTAGCGGTTATCTAACTACATGTTTTATCAACTTTGCCGACCAACCACCAAGAGGTAAGACTGGGACAACCATTATCTGTTAGCCAATTCAAATTGCAATATTCCCTACATTAGCCCACTCTATAGGGCATAAGCTATCACCTAGAAGATTTTTTGTTCAAAGTGTGTGTAATATTCACATGATTGTTAACCTGATCGTTGACTTGATGAATTTGTAGGTTTGTCTGCAACATAGTTTGCTGAATGAATTCAGACGTATGTCATAGAGGTAGTTAGGCCCTATGTGAGTCATTGTACTTACTAGTTTTGATACCCAAATTATAGTTTAGTTGCTTCATTTTTCAGGGTGGAAATATGAAAGCGGCATGCATCGAGTCATTCTCCATGCCTTATTAGATTAGTGGATAATTTCTTTTCTATACCTTGACAAATGGAAGGTATCCTAAAAGATGCTATTAATAAATGACAAGTTGGTAATGTAAGAATTTGGTGACTCGACCTCATTTATCCCCTGGCTAGAAAATCACCAGTTTGGAATTGTTGATCAATTAACCCATATATTTTTGGTGATATTTTTTTTTTGTTTAGGGCTGAGTTAGTATAGGTAGTACATGTATCATATGGGTTGCATTTGCCATGCATGCACTGTAGATGTTGACTTCATATATACAGTAGTTTGTCTGAGTATGCTAAAAAATTATCATGACATTTGCATATTTTAGTACTCCATGATTGTTTTCCATAGATCTACTGCTATGTAAAAAGGGTTTATGCTACTTTTCTTTATCAATGTAATTTTAATATGAACTATCGTAACCTAATTTTGTCAACCTTGTGTGCTATCTATATCTTAGTAATTACAAAATCAGTACACTGAGCTTAAATTTAGACAATCAAGGCATCAAGCATCTACTTAGTAGTGCTAGTGCACTGAGCTTGATTGTTTGCACTGAAGCATAAAAAATTTCGAGAGTAATTTATTTAGTGACTACTAGGCTTGATTATCTTCTAGCAATTTTTTTGGATATCTATTTCGATCTTTACACTGATCGTACTTTATATTTATTAATCTTTCAGGAGACCAACAACTGCTTTATATCATCCAACAGGTCATTTATACAATTTCTTTCATAGGATTTGCATAGATTTCACATTTTGCTCCACTGATTATTTGGCAATGGGAGGTGGTGGTGACTTTGCACTTTATCTCAACGAATACCTGTAATCTCTGTCCTTCCTCCCGCCTTATCATACAAAACTTCTGGTCCATGTTTCATGCATTTATTCCCATTTGCTCTATTAGTCTCTGCAGTCTTAGGGAGTGTTCGCTCCTCCTGGTTGGGAACACTCCCCTCCGGCACGGAAAACGGAGCAATCCATTAGCGCGTGATTAATTAAGTATTAGATTTTTTTTTTCAAAAATAGATCAATATGATTTTTTTAAACAACTTTTGTATATAATTTTTTTGAAAAAAATACACCATTTGGTAGTTTGAAAATCGTGCGCGTGGAAAACGAGAGAGATGAGTTGGGAAAACTGAGCCTTAATGGGTTTTCCATGTCAGTGAGATTTAACAGTCCATGCTTATCATGGAGAAAATCGGACACAATTAGTTTTGTTAACATGAGACAAATGTTAGTATGATGAATCAGTACGTAATTGCTGTCTAGGAAAAAGAGGGAACACAGATCCTTCACTATAATGTCAGATATTTATGTCACAAATTAATTGCGATGCATACATTTAAGTTTGTTGCTAAAATTGATTAGAGATGGTAATATCATTTGGAATTAATCTATTTATGCATACAGGATATGTCAAGATTTCTTTGTTTGTAAGGATTTTGCTAATGAATCTTGCTA